CTTTTGTCTCTGCTATAGCTTGTTTTCGTTTTTTCTAGAAGCCATCGAGGAGCCATCTCCGGTTGCTGTGGTGCGCAAAGAAAGGGGATCTCGTCGTAAGATATTGTCCGATCCTGAATCTCATGAAGTTAGAGAAAGTCTACAAGAAGATTCAATCTCCATCGATGAGAATACTTTAATGGCTCTTCGAAGACATGGTCAGCACTATCTATCATATCATCTACCTTGGATTATACGGCGTTCTGGTTACAGGGGTTTTTCTCATATGGGTGTCATTGTCACTTTAAGTGACCCTTTTTTCAGAATTCAGATCAGGTTTTAACGAAACTTGTCTCCGGTAATATATCTTGAGGGAACACTATACTCAGCGGTAGTTTAAGCTAAAATTTTGTATCCAGGGGTTTTTTGGACTTTGGCACGCGACCTTGGTACGCCAATGTTTGTACGAAAACGTGTGGCACCTATGCAAAAGCCTCAACTCGCAAAACTCGTTGAAGATTTGTCTCAGCGGTTTTTTACGCTCTAAACACGATTATCGTACTCTCTTGGTGCCATAACGCCTTATACAGGCGCCTGTCGCGAATCGGCCTGTAAAGCCTACGGTTATCGCAGGCGCCAAAAGTTTTCACAAAGCGAATGTGATGTCTGTGTTCAGAGGGTAAACTCTACCAAACGTACAAGGAGGTTCGATAAAATGTGTCCTGAATATCGAATAATGGGGCATTGAAAAGATAATAGCTCTTCGAAATGTTTCCATTTCAGTTCTAGGAGACGCATTTTCAAACCGCTAGCCCCATGCGTATCTGGGTCAGCTTCAACAGCAGCGCCTTACTTTGGATGTTCGATGAGCGGCAGCCGCGAAAAGTGTAAAAGATGATTTTTCTGCTGATGTGGGAACGTCGAGCCCTGAGCATGGTTTGTGAGGTATTTATGGGTTCATTTATGCAGATTCATTATTGAGGGTTCTTATTTCAGGTCAAAGTGAAGAGCACGCGCTTGATGGTAGTTCAGCGGAGTCTCATGATACTACCAGTCGGGAACGTGAGCAGTTGACGGAAATCGTTGATGACCCGAGCGATACAATTCAAGCAGCAGAGCCAGTCACGATTGCTTATGAGTATCTGTTGCAGCAAAACGTGCTACACCCAACTCTCTTGAAAGACGAAGTATGATGAAATGTGTCCTGCTCTTTTTCTCAATCTGGCAACTATTTCCATTAAAACCTCACGTTTAGTCGAGTGCAAGGAATTCCGGAGAAGTTCCTAAGATGAAGAACAAAACCATTGCCGAAAGGTCCCGCCGTCATTTGGTGCTGAACGATCGTGTCGATATATGGACAAAGGTTTGTTTTCCGCAGCGACATATCGTTGCGGTAGTTTGCAGTGTTTGCAGACAATTCCTAGATTCCGTTTCCCAAGCTATAATTAGCCTTTCCCTCACATTTTTCTTCCGCTGGTGCGCCTCCTGTGATACGACCCGCTTTGGCCAGGCGGATGCGGTTTCGATGCGAGATACTTGTTAGACTATTCAAACCTGTTCTTTTTCTGTCATTTTGGCTCTTGATCAACCCTCTTATCACAATTCAGTAGACGGTAATATGTTGAAAGTAGCTGGTGTGATGCTATCGTTAAGGAGCATTGACGTGAATACAGGTGACAGAAAAGCCGTGTATTAGTTGAATAATAAAGCATATGAAATAAAAAAGGGGCGCCCACCATGGGAAGCCTCGTCGCATCACAGAGTGAGGCGCGCCGGCGTCAGCCGGCGAGCCGACTAGAACATATAAAATGCCTTACAAATTTGTAGTAGATAATTCTCATTCACAGACCACGAGTTTCTTCAGGTTCCTCTATTTTGCTGAGTCCGACAATCCTCCAATCTCAGCGAGCACCACGGAGTGTTTTTCCAGGTTCCCTCGTGCACCCATGTACTGCATAACACATTTTGCTTTGGCTGTCAGGAAAACACATCTGTCCTAATATGCCAGCGCGGCGGCCGAAAGAAGGCCAGCCCTCGGCTTCCATAGCGCCTTACAGTGATATGGGCGCGAAGCAATGCGTGTCTGGGCAGGTTTGCAAATGGTGCAGCCTGACGCGTATCTTTGAATGTCAATCAACTGTGTTCTTGTTGTCCGCTTCTGTGATAAGATGCATGTGCGAGTGTATGTTAGATGTGCGATCAACTGAAGATATAGGGGGTTGGATCAACTGAAAGAGTAGTACGGGGGTCAAGGCGGGTCGCAGGAACATGTGCCAATGCTCCGCGTGCCACGAGGCGCATCGGCGCAACACGACTGTATGCTCGTGTCTTTTTCCGTTGAGGGCAGGGTATTCTGAGTAAGCCACGCGCTGAGGATGTCTCACCTTTCGCGAGCTTGGAACATGCATGATAAGACATTCTAGCACGCGCTGTGGGTGGACCCAAGTGCTCCGCCACACTTCTGCATCCTGACTGCCACTGGGTTTTTTCTAGACACCCCTTTTGATGGGCGTGGGGGGTATACCTCTCAGCTCGTTACCACTGTAGTGGTAAGAGTGGGGAAAGGAGCGTGATATTTTATTAGTTTAGTTTATTTATTTCATTTCATTTCATTTATTTCATTTATGTTATTCATGTTATTTTAATTTATTTATGTTATGCAGACCCTACGAGGGCAGTGCTCACAACACACTGAAGACACACATCACTGATTTCAAATCAGCTATATGAGGAACATGAATAAAACCCTAAGAATTTTATTTACAATACCATGAACTAAGCTTTCTCGTGAGTTGCGAAAGGGGTAAGAAGATAGTCGCAGAATCTGAAATCATTGGGCACGAGTACGTAATCACTGTCTATCGCGATGACGATACACTTGCAACATAATCCACATGTCCTATTTCCGTGCAACAAAGGAAGACGCGTGCCGCAACCGGATAGTATCTGGGTGCAAACTATCCTGTTGCGGCACGCGGCTGTCGAAATCCCTGGCCACGACCGCTAGCATGGCAAATTATAATACTATCGTCTTGTCACATACCCGCGAAGATGCCTGGAATATCACACTACCACAAACCTCTACTTCCACTGGTGTCCATTTTCGATTAGGAGAAGTGGTGCACCTACACAACTACCGAGTTGTCCACCTGGTACATATTGAGAATCCAGCTCTCAGGGTGTCCTTATAATCATACCAGGCGTCTTTATTTTGCATAGTTCCTTGTTTAGATGATGAGTCGATCATATGGGCGGTTCGTCGGAACATCGGGTTTTGTGCCATGGAGGCGCTATCTTCTGCCACTCGATTCGACGCATGTGCAACTGATGGTGGTGGAGTGTTGGAGGTGTCTGTCGCCAGTAATGTGGCTTGGTACATAACGAAGGAGGGGGTGCGATAAGTTATTGCAGAAAAAAGAAGCGGCAATTAGACATGGCTGTACAAAATTTCAGGTATCGCTGCAAATGGAACTGCCCGAAAAGGCTATTTTCTCGAAAGTAGATCGAGATTGGCCACTAATTTCGATCTCTGTGAGATCGGAAGAGGCCGTATGGGCAATACGTGCAGATACAGGTGGACTTGTTGTGCGAGTAGGATTGGCTCGATGCAAGATGGGCCTGGATTGGGTGGAAATAGCGTAAGTGCTTTCGATAGAATTTTTCGACGGTTCAGCCAACAGCTACTCCTATGAAGGCTGATTTGTAGACCGGAAGGGCCCTCAAAATTGGTGTCAGTTTGTGTGTTTGGTAACTACGGCTTTGTGTTGGATAATACTGGTCGGTTGTGGATGACGACGGGAGTAGACCACCATCATCCCTACGGTAGTAGTGACGCGTTTTATAAGGTGTGTTTGTGTTGCCAGTTTCATTATCATTTCCCTTTTGTCCTAGAATCTTATGGATGGGACCGATTTTGCTCGAAAAAGATCTCGAGCGTAAACTTCTGAAAACTGAAAATGTAAAAACTTAATAAAAGCGAAAATTGAATTTCGAGCGGCTCTAAGATTCTAGGGTCGCTTCAGATTTCGTAGGCTATTTGATTTGATTTAATCTTTGTTGGCGACCATGACGGTGAGGATCTGATTGTTTAGGTTTGCTTACCTAACATTGATGGCAAAACGGCGCCAATTGAAGCATGGAGTGTCAGGTGAGCTCTATTCACTTTCTAGTGAACTTTATATGCTTACATAAGTTTGCTGAGGTAAAATCGTTCTCTTCCGTTGGGGGAATGAGTAATCAACGCCAAGGGAATGTAAAGGCAGTTAGCACGATAAATCCCCAAAACGAGTAGGATCAATACGCCTGTCAGGACGGAATTCCGCGACCCTAAGAGGCGCTGCGTAACGCCTTTTCCAGGGAAGGCACACTTATTGAGGCCCTATCAACAACCACAACATACCGACCCAAACGCCCACCACGCCCGCGCCACAAATGGACGGCCGTACCTGATGCTCGTATTGCTTCCATTCGCAAGTAAAATGTGCAAGCTTAAGCACTGTTAGGCTGGGCGTTATGACTTATTGCGGAGCGTAGCCGTAGCTGCGATTCAGGTACGCGTGCAGTGCTGGGGCGAGGAGTGTATTGATCTAGCGCCAGCGTAACGTCACGCTAGCGTTACGGCAGCGTTTTACAGCGTTTTGGACTAGCGTTTGCAGGGTAGGGGAGTAGAGACTGATGGCGTCAGAGACGGGATGGCGTTTTTTTGTGTACCTTAGCTCTCCATGTCTCTATCCCTGCGTCAAAGTAGCTAAACGCTTGGTGAAGCATGGAGAACGCAAGCGTACGCTAGCGTAAAGCAGGCTAGATCGATATGGCCTCTCTCCAGCCTGCCCGTGGTGTATGCTGGATGACGCTACGCTAGCTACGCTGCGCAAAGTATAAAGGGCAGCTTATGAAGCGGCTGCGGTGCTGCATGGATATATGAGTACATACATGCAGCCGTACCTACCGTAGCGGTTATTGGCAGGATGCCTACGGGAAACTCGTCCGAAATTGCTTTTTAAGAACGAAGGCTTTTCTTCGCAGTTTTCGACCGTTTCACTTCGTTTTTTCGCCATTTTCCTTTTATAAGCGCCCTGCTAGCAGTTTAGGCCGAGTACCATATTATCGTGCCAACTGCCTTTAAGTGTCTATCGATCCCTTTTGAAGTGCATCATACAATCAATCTACTTTTCCGTTAACAATCACAGTGGAGCTTTTAATGCGACTTCCCTTACACAGCGGCTTGGGGGAAGGGTGAGGCAGCCGATGTACCAATCAGTACTTTAATCCTCGCAAACAGGTAAGGGAACGGCTAGCCAGTTCGGAGGAATGCGGTTCGACTGGTCCGAATGGGAGCCGATTCGGGTTTTCACGACCCCGCCATCAGTGTATACCAGGGGATCCACATTACAATGGCACGCAGAAATCGGCATAGATGCAGCTGGTCGACCCGATTTGCTGAAGCAGTCCCGCGTTGAATCAATTAGGTTTTGATATGCACGTTGCGCATGTGATGCCAGTTGCAACGCTGCGTCGCCGTAACTTGGAGTTCCCAAGGCATAGTACTAGTATGCGATATTGGAGAGTTGAATCGGAGAATGTGTGTCCATAAATAGATTTGTGCAGCTTTAAACGGAAAACTCGGAAAATGTCGCTAGTGAAACATCGGGGAGGTCATCCTTTTTGCGAAAATGGCTGGACCCATGGGGATCATTGGGTTCGTCTGGTCAACCTTACGGTTGGTCAGAGTCAGCCGATCTAGCCTTTTTGCGATTGCGACGGATTCTTCGGCGTTTCGCTGCTGGGATTATCGTTCTGTCCCTGCGGCTTTGTATCTAACTATTTTGCGGATGCTTCGAGCTCCCTATGGTGGCGCACCGTGAACAGTGTCCACTAGTGCACCCTCGTACCGTGCAATGAGCAGTATCGTTTTTCATCCCTCCATCCCGCCGGTCTCGGCCTCTTACAAAACGATTTAATTTACTGAAAACTACAAGACTACTGAAAACTCCTGGTTTATGTCTTCGTTTTGCTTCCCGACGACATGATAGATTGTCATGAATTGATGAGGTTACCATCTGATTAAAGGGTCTCTTCGGCTGGTTTATTTCTGTGTGTTGGCAAAATGATGTATTTATCAAGAAGTGCTGTATCTGGGCACAAGTAGGTGGTATTCTATAGCTTGTTGGCTTGCTTTCAACCTAATATCAGCTAAGTTATTTTTTTCCTAGATTTCCTCG